TGAGTATAAAAGCTATCTCAAATATATTATAATACTTAAGGAGTCTGACTCTTGCGAATATCAAATTGTAAAAGTGAGGTGCGGCATGATAATGGCAATAATTTGTGCGGAAATGACATTACATTTTGTAGAGTTCATACTTTACATACTATTATGAATAAGCGTTATAAGGTTAGTTAAATTCGCCTTGATTTATATACCTTTAAAGCGGTTGAGATACCAAAAGTGACCAGTACTCCTAAGCCAAATGCTAAAAGATGTGGAATATATTTGACTCCTGGTATGGAAGGTCGTTTTGCTACCAAAGATTCTAAGAAGGACAGTTTCTTGTCGGTGTACGGCGGATAACGACACCTATAATAGTTAATTGTAATTATTGCAGAAAAATCTTGAACAGAGCACAACGAACAAATTTAATAAATAAAAGTATCTGCTTACGATGCCAAGGTTTCTGCTAATTTGTTGAAATCCTTAATGAGACAACCCTTTTTGTGAACAAATGTATCATATGTATACTTTCCATGGTAACATCCCATGCCAGAATATCCAACTCCACCAAATGGCAAAGTATCAACTAAATCAATGGATTTTTATATTGCAGCACTGTACTTACATTATCATTATTATATAGACACACATGAATAATAACACAAAAATACAAGCTATTCTTTTAAGAAAATACATATATAATATGTAAAGCAGCTAGCTACAAGAGTGTTATTATGCATATAAAGGCATGCACACTGAATAAAGTATGTATTATGTACATAACGGTAAGCATACTGACAAAAAAATTATGAAATATGATGCATTATACGTATACATAACTAAGCGTATATAACTTTTATATTGAAGAAAATATACTTCATTGAATATTTTCTGTCAGTAAACACTTAATTAAGAGTAAGTAGAAACAAAATACCTTGGGCATGCATCATTGTATCATTAACACAAGTGCTCCCACTGCTTATATTATCAAGCAGCAGTGATATATTTTGCTCATCACTGCTAAATATGTACAATGATAATGGCTTCTCTCTGTATGAAATATGTAATACAAATCATTCAAATGAATTTGTAACGATTCATTTTAGCGCGATTATATGTTAATCACGAAAGGGGAATATGCATGTAATCATTCATTATAGCAAGAAAAAGAGTTCTTCTAATTACAGAAGTTTAATGCGTGAAAATTTCGAATTAAGTCAGAACCATTTTTAATTGTGGCGTTGAATACTGTTCATAAAATAGAAGAATGTTGTATATACAGAATTCCACTTTTCTCCTATCCACCACCAAACTTCATGTCATTGTAATTTCAATACCTAATTCAAACGCAAACGTAAACCGACACCTTAATGTTTGGTTAAAAAACTAACTAAGCATGCTATGTCAGAAAATTACTTTGCTACAATTTTACAGTTATTGAAAAGACAGAAATCTAAATACATGGCACTACTTATTTTTTGTTTTCAAATAAAAGCAATTTGTCTATCTGCACACTAAGAAGTAATTTATCATTTGTTTCCTAATATCCTAACTCACCAGAAAATTGCATTATCGTTTCATTAATTGCCACGCTTCCACTATGAGTTTGATTAACTATTAAGTCTTGAACTCCCCTGTCCTTGGTAAATATATATAGTACGAGTGGAGTTTCGCTAAATATAAAAAAATTAATCGTCGTATGCTACTTAGTTTTAGATATCTAGTAATGCTCTGATTTTGCTAATTAAGTAACAGTCGACTTTTTTTATAACACAATAAATATACTGTTTAAATAATAAGTTGCGTGTTTTTATCTGTATGAGCACAAATATTGGTTGTCCGAATCTATTGCGACTTAGATAAAGGAACAAAGTCTACACAAATATAATAATAATGTAAAACAATGTAAAAATAAGTAATTGAAAGAGAAAACCTACCGACTGTTTATAAATTTAATGGCTTCGTACGCGTTGTTTACATTTATAATAGGTAATATCGGTCCAAATATTTCATCTTGCATGACAGGATCTGTGGGTTTAACGTCGACAAGTATAGTTGGTGAGATATATTTTTCTGCGGGATCACATTGTCCTCCTAATGCTATTTTACTATTTCCATCTAGGTATTTTGTAAGTCGCCTGAAAAAATGTTTTCAATATATTATAGAGTATATATATATATTAAGATAGAATATTTATATTAATATATTATTTTGAAAAATTATATTTACTGATAATGATTTTCATTGATTATACGTGCTAAATCTGGACTTTCCTTGGGATTCTCACCATACCATTCCTTTATAATTTTGTTTGCCTCATTCAAAAATTTGGTCTGTACTTCTGGTGTACAAAGTACATAATCTGGTGCAATGCAGGTTTGACCCACATTAATACATTTACCCCACAATATTCTTTTTGCAGCTATATTTATATCCACTGTATTATCTACATACACAGGGCTGCAAGTATAAATTTATATTTCATTCCTTTATATTGTTAAGTTTAAGAATTAAATTCTATACCTTTTGCCACCAAGTTCTAATGTTACAGGTGTTAAGTACTTGTTTGCTGCATCTCGAACGATCCTCCCCACTGTAGTAGAGCCTGTATAAAATATATAATCAAATCTTTGTTTGAGCAATTCTGTTGTTTCATTAATACCCCCTAGTACAACTTGAACACATTCCTGCAAAAAAAAAAATAAATAATAAAGTGTTTCAAGATTTATATAAAAAATACTTGTTGTCTCATTTGAAATACATACTGTATCTAAATATTGTGGAATAATTCTTGCAAATAATTCTGCTGTAGCAGGTGATACTTCTGATGGTTTAACAATTACACAATTTCCAGCAGCAATCGCACCCATTAGAGGGATTATGCATAGTTGAAATGGATAATTCCAAGGTCCCATAATAAGAACTAGACCGTATGGATCTTTCCGAATTTCAACTCCATCTAACATATTGATCATTGCTTTTGCAGGCTAAAGAATATTCATATATTTAACATATTTTATACGAGTTCTCTATTAAAACTACATTATCGTATTGAACGTACCTTCTCTTTAGCTGCCCATTCTTTGATATTCATAAGTAATGTTTTAACTTCTCCTTGTGAAATGAGCACTTCCAAAGCAATAGTCTCAAATTTACACTGAATGTGAAAACATTGTACATATATATGATATGAAAAACATTGTTTACGACAAATATAATAGTATACATACCCTACGTAAATCAGATGCGAGTGCAGATATTATGTCAGGCTTGCATTCTTCTAACATAAGTTCTAGTTGCTTTAATTGTTTTATTCTCCATTCTAATGGCCTTGTTTTACCACTGAAGAATGCATTTCTTGACCTTTCAACAAGCTAAAAAAAAAGAGACAAATTTATGAAATTTAAATATTCCTAATTGTTGATTGCACACTGAAAACAAGTTCATGTACTTACAGCTGCGTAGTCTGTTGCCATTTTACCATTAGGTTGTGCTAAAGCAGAAAAAATATTTATGAATAAATCAATTTTATAACATAGATTTAATTTGTTTAAAATCGAGCTACTTGAAAAAAAGTCTTATCTTGTTTAACTGACATTAAAATGCTCATAAATATTCAGAAGATTGTGGCCGTGCAGAGTTTATTCTGAGCAAACGAAATGATAAAAACGGAATGCATAAGTAATTTTTTACCGCAACTTTAAATTCACCGATTCGTATTTAATTATCATTCACATTTATCAAACCAATTTGTATCTATTGAGTTTAAGATATTCGCTAAAAAAAATATGTTCGTACGTTACGAAAACAGATATTTATTGTTCATTAATAATACGTTAACAATCACTGTAAATTGGACGAATATCAAGCTTCCTGTTATGAACACATACGTATCATTGCTGAAGCCTGCACACAGTTCACAATCAATTACGACTACATATAAGGTGTTCTAAAAAATGAGTCATACTTTTTG